TTTTTTTTTTTGTATTCTAGCTTCTTTGCCTGCATTTATGTGAGTAAATGCTCAGGAACTGCAAGTTTATATTGTTTGGTATTGCTTTATACTTTTTCCGTGACTTTTAATTACCCAAGTCTGCGGTTGTACTCATGGACGCTGAATATCGAAGGAATAAAGTTTTACTATTGGGGAAGACCCGCGTGGCAGAAGCTAGCGACAGACGAATCAACGAGTCACGGCGAGCGTAAGGAGAAAACAATGACTTATAGAGTTGTTTTTTTTTTATAATTTAAATATAACATAAGGAAAACAGCTCTGTTAGTTTCTTTCTTTTGCTTATCTTCTTGTCCTCTGTCCCCGTAGCCGTCGAAGCTTCTTCCTTCATGTGCTGCTTATCTTTCCAATAATAGCTATCAGCTACGTTCCAAGTATCCAGGAATTTCCCATCTTCTTCTTCTCCGCCTTTCAGCGACACTCGCTCGAGACGGCCGTCCAGAACCGTCCAGATTCAGGTCTTGAATATGCAGAGTTAAGTAATTGAGGAACACTAGGCGAATTCGGTCTTCCTTTTTTTGCAGCTTCTGCTAGGTGTTCCCATTCGGCACCCAAAATGAGTATTTTGTAAGACTCAAATTGCTTTTTTCAGTGGACGAATAGTGTTGGTGAGCAGCGTACTCGGTAGGGTTTCACTACCGGGAGCAGCGCCATACGCCGTTTCTAAGTTTGCTGTTACTGCTTTTGGCGACGCTTTGCGGTAAGTTTAATGCTAAAAAAAATTCACTGTAATGCCTAGTTTTAGGTTAGCACATTTATCTTGAAATTTCAAACTGTACTGAAGATAAAGCTTTAAAAGTGTAGTTGTTCGAAGTATTACTATTTAAGATCCTTATTTTTCAAAAAAAATTATTATTTTAGACTAGAGCTAAAACCGTTTGGAGTAGATGTCATAATCATCGAACCAGGTTTTTTCCGTACAAACATTGTTGATTCGCAAAGACTTGGTGCAGCAGTAGAAGAAGTATGGAAAAGAGGAACTAAACAAGTTCAAAATGAGTATGGCGTAGAATTTTTTAAATCTTGTAAGTTTAACAGAAGAAATTTTTCTG